CACCAATGGACCATTTCGCATCTTTCAAGATGCCTCTAGAGTTCAACATGCCTCTCCACACAGGAGATGCTCTACTAGTCTTCTTCCCATTTAGGAAGTGAAGGCTTTTCAGGTACTTAGCTTTCAGTACGTCTATCCACAACCCATTCTCGCTGTGAATGAGTTTCCAACTCAATTTTGACAGTAAGGCAAGGTTATGATCTCTAGCCTTCTTAATGCCAAGGCCGCCATGCTTCTTCTGTTGACAAACCTCATTTCAATTGACATGGTGGATTTTCTTTTTCTCTAGGGTATCACCCCAAAGAAAATTTCTATTTAAATTATCAATATCATTGCACACTCTTATAGGTAATTCCAAAGTTTGCAAAGTGTAAGTAGGCAGAGCAATAGTAACAGATTGTACAACGGTAGCTCTACTAGCCAAGGATAGAACATTCCTTTTCCATCTAGCCAGCTTAGTTTGAAGATTTTCAAGAATGTAATTAAAGTGTGTTAGGTCCCTGTGTTGTCAAATCCGGAGACAAAATCTTGTGTGGATTCAAAACTTTGTTTTTCTGTTTTTGTACTGTCCGCTCGAGCGGAGACTCTTGAGCTCGAGCGTAGATTAGCAGGTCACAGTAGTTTGACAGGACAAGCACAAATACTGGTGGGTGTGATTTAACGCTCGAGCGGAAACTCCTACGCTCGAGCGCATCTCTGTTTCTTCGTATGCAGTTTTTGTTCAGTCCGCTCGAGCGGGCTATGTTGAGCTCGAGCGGAGATCGCGATTCAGATTCCTATTTAAAGCTGATGAAAAATATATTATTCAATGTTGAAATTGATGGAAGTGAAAATTGAAATTTTTAGTTTTCAAATTTTGCTTAACTTGCTTTTAGAATAAAACTTTATTTTGTAATTTTTCTATTTGATGGCATTAAAAAAGCTTATAGACTTTGCTTTCATATTAGTGTTGTTAAACTACGATTTCTCTTTTAGTTTTATAATTTTTTCTTTTACTTTTGGTATTAAACTTTGATTTGTAAATTGAATCTAAAACTATAAATTAAAAAAAAAATAAAAAAAAATTATTGACGTACCCCAGTCATATCCGTATCTTATTTTATTTTAAATTTTACTATATCAGTATAACATACCCGTACCTATATCCGTACCCGCACTTGTACTTCGTAGCCCAAATTCTACATGAGCTATGTTGCTTCCACAGCTTTTATGTTGTTGTTGTGTGTTTGTCAGATCCTCTCTTTGGAAGAATTTGAATGTTCAAAATGACTAGATTTGTCTTCTCTGGCTGTTATGAAAGCTAATATGTGTGACCGTTCAATGCCACTATATATGTTTGCCTTGAAATTGTTTAAATTCTAGATGTGTTAGTGATTTAGGAAAGTTTATTTGTCATTCGACGTGGAAATTTTATGTGATTTTTGGGCCGCGACTTCACTATAACAAAAGCTTGTTTTAGTCATAAGTTCTTTGTGGAACTTATGCTTTTATTTGATTTTCCATCTGTGAAAAAAAAAAAATTATTTGAGGTGAAGTTTTGTTCTTACACATTTGTGTCTTTTTATGAGATTATCGTTTTTATTATCTGTTCCTATTTCTTTTATATGATGATAGTTCATTATAATCATGTATTTTTTTTAAGATCTTATATTGGTAGTATTCAACTGTTCATGTCACTGATAATTTGGAATGTTTGTGCCAATTCTCGTTTCTTTTCCTTTTATTTTTTAAGCAAATTCGCTTTATCCTTTGACCCATATGCAGATGAGTCCCATTCATTTGTAAATAAGAACATTTTACTTTATGATTTGTGAACCCAAATATTCTGTTAAATTTATTTAAATACATCATCTTCTTTCTCTAAACTCATGTATATATATTAGTAGTTTGGCACAATGCGACCCCCATGGCAACCACATTATTCATTTACTTATCATCAACAATCTTGGCCAGCCACATTATTCATTTATTTATCGTTAAAAATATTTCTTACTATTACGTGTGTTGATTAATAATGCTTAATTATCACCATTGATTGCATTGATAAATTTCTTACTATTACGTGTGTTGATTAATAATGCTTAATTATCACCATTGATTGCATTGATAATCGCTCCATAATTTCATTATCACCGTCTGCATAATTTATCAAAATTCAACTTATTGATGCGTCACCTTTAGATTTATTTTGAAAAGTAAGTTAGAAGTTAATTTTTTAATTTTTTTAACTTTTTTTTTTAAAAAAAAAATATGTAAAAAAATAAAGAGATGATTTGATCAAAAAAAAATAAATCAAAAAGTTAAAAAATTAACTTTTAATCAACTTTCCAAAATAAGCCTTATTATCATTAGTTCTTTTTGTGGTAAGATTCATATTGTACATGTACCATAGGATTTCCTGTCAAATTATGTCTATCATTCTATGATTAGTATTGTTCATCGATGGTGCTGCTCGCCTCCATGATTGAGGATCAATTATGCTTAATTATAATAATTATGTTATAAATATAATTATTTGTCTTTCTATGGAAAAGGCTATAGTACACACTCTTATTTATCGTATGCACCTTATAACTAGAGAGAGAGAGAGAGAGAGAGAGAGAGAGAGAGAGAGAGAGAGAGAGAGAGAGAGAGAGAGGATATGGTATATACTTAAGTATCTTATATGCACTTTACGACTAAAAAAAAAAAAACATAATTTTATACTTTTTAAGTCATAACTAAAAAAAAAATGAAGTCATAACCAAATAACACATGAGACATAACTAAAAATCTAAAAAATTAGTTATAATTAAAAAAGAAAATAGCATAACCTATGGGTGCATATAATAGGGGGTTTACAGTAGAATTTTCCATCATTCTATATATATATATATTTTCTTATTGAATGGTCACCTTTAATGTCCTGCCTCAATTTCTAATTATATAACAAATATTGAATATAATAGTAATCACTTTGTTTGGTTCTGGTTTTTTGAATCCAGTTTTTCAGAAAATTCTATTTTTTTATTTTTCGTACTTCAATGTTTTCAATGAATTTTTTAATATTTTAAGCAATTTTTTTCAATTGTTAGACACACCTAAAATAAATACACTTAAAAAGTATAATATTTATGAAAAAAATCTTTAAATAATACACTAAATACCAAAAAATAAAAAAAAATGAAAATTTAGTATATTTTTTGTATTTTTTTGTATTTGTTAATTTTTTAAAATATTTTTCCACAAATATTTTACTATTTAGATATATCTAAGTAAGGTGAATCTAAAAAAGTAAAAAGATTGCTTAAAATTTTAAAAATATTTACTAAAAACAAAAAATACGAAAATAAAAAAATTCAATTTTTATAAAACTGAATTTACACTACAAGAATTAACACTTTTGGCAACAAAAAAATTGGTCGCTAAAAGTCAATTTTTGGTCGGCAAAAGTTATCCGCGACCAATTTTTTTGGTCATTACTTTGGTCGCCAATTAAGGGTCGACAAAAGTAATTCGCGACCAAAATTTTTGTTGGTCGGCAAAAATTGGATTTGCCGACTGAATTTTTGGTCGCTAAATATTTAATTACCGCGACTAATTCATTTTGTCGCTAAAACACTTTAGTCGCGAAAAGTGATATTTTCCTGACCAAATATCTTAGTCGCCAATTGATACATTTAGCGACCAAAAAGTTTGGTCGCCAATTATCACATTCAACGACCAAAAAGTTTGGTCACCAATTGTGACATTCCACGACCAAAAAATTTGGTCGCCATTTGTTACTTTTTGTGACCAAAACTTTTGGTCGGCAAAAGTGAGTTTCCACGACTAAGAGCTGTTTTGGTCGGCAATAGATGTATTTTTTGCGACCAAAACTCTTGGTCGGCAATTGTCATTTTTTGCGAAAAAAATTTATTTATTTGTCGCGACTAATAAATTGGTCACCAAAGCAGGAAAACAATACACCTGTAATTCCTAATAATTCATTCAATGCATAATAAACCTATAATTTTAAAGCATCATTCAAATTAACTGAATCATTAACATTCGACACAATACATAATTCATTAACATTCGACACAATACAACTATTCTAAGTTTTCATTCACCAGTCACATCCATCAAGCATAACAATTTGAAACATAACTATTTTTTATCCATGCGCAGCTATCAACAAATAAAACTACTAATATTTGTTATCCATACACATCCATCCAAAAATATTTAATCCTCCCAAAAATGCTTATACTGCCAAGTAGTCTTGTACAATTTAGCTTCGTGAACTTGTTAAGAAATATGTTGGGGAGGGTGCACGTCTGGTTCGTGAACAGACATGATTGAATCTGGCCTTGAACCCTTTGTTGAAGTTACTCTCTACCCAAACCATGAAAAAAATCAATATCTTTATTATTGTTCAAAAAGAAAATAACTTAAACAGGGTAAGAACATACCGAAGAAACAGCCCTATTTCCAGCCCGTCGGTCACCATTACAATTAGAGCTAGATTTCCCAACTTCTGATCCACTTTTCAATGATTGCCCCATTGATATTGTTTTAGCCACTTCAAATGTTTCTGGGAACAAAGAAAAATTATGTCACTATGAAACAGCACTACCGAACAAAGATAATAAAACCTCAACAAACTTCACTACAACATACCTTGAAAAGCCCCAGAGTGCTTCAGTCGTTCAAGAACAATAGCTAAGGCAGGTCCTTCAATATCTTTCAAATTCTTGGTCACCTAGTCATGTAACAAGACAATAAACTCAGGAGTTCTGCTAGTTTTTCGACAAAAACCAAAGAAGGCACCAAAAATTTTTGTCTACATACTGTATCAGGACCACAGACTCTGAAAATTTCACCAATGCATACTTCAGCTGCTTTACAAACATCTGCTGATTTATCCTATATATAAATGCAAAACCAAGCAATTAGAGCTATAAACAACCCCAAAATAAGAAACAACCAAGAACAAAATAGTGAACCCAACTCAACCATACCTCAAATGGTTTTTTTTCACACTCAGCTTCAAGTGCACTTAGAAGAGCAGGTTTGACATCTGAAAGAAATCCCTTGATGTCTGCAACAACAGGTGCATCTTAGAATTCTTATCCTTAACTCAACATATCCCTAGTTTTCACAAACCAAATGACAAGTTACCTGGACCAACAAACTTATGTAAAGCACCAATTAGTTTAATAGTGGCATTTCTAGTGGCAGCAACACTGGATTGCAAACCCGTATCTTTGCAAAAATCAATTAAATCCTATAAACATGTACATCATATTGAGACAACTAGCAGGCATAATAAAACTGCAACTTAATCAAAAAAGTTATCCAGCCAGATTTGTTAGAGACAACTAGCTGAGCAATCAAGCCCCTAGAAACCAACATTACTCCTGGATGTTTAACAACCTAATTACTCACCATGTAGGCAAAGAACAGCACATTTTTTGGGAAACTTGGATGTAGTAGAAGCTATGTGAGTGACAACATCAATAACCTGTTGTTGTACCTGCAAATTTCAGTACACGATGATTAATAAGCTAACAGCCATAACAACCCTGCCAGTAAGATAAGCAAAAAAGTTAAATACCTGTATCCCCTCCACCTGCTCTTTAAGTGAGACAATGGCTGTAACAACAGGGGGGGTTACTCACTATGCATTCAAGCACGAAGTGAAACACTTGTAACATGTGCAAAACTAAAAAGGTATAAACTATGTGTAATCAAAGAGACATAAAAATTAGGGGACAAAGTCCAACCACTTTACGATACTATAATCAATATAAAAAGATAAAGTTAACTTGTTGAACCAGTAACGCCAAAGCAAAACATGCAAACTTCTAACAAAACCACAAGCACCGTATATAGACATGTGACACACATCTCCTCTGAACATAGAAGGTCATGAGAGACAATTTTGGGCAAGAGACTAAACCAATAATGTATACTTTGCCAGCATGCCATTGCAATTTTTTTTTCTTTTCGGTAAGCGCAACCAAAAGATAAGAACCTTAATAGTTCCACTATTAAAGTACTAATATTTTAATTTTTATAACATTTGGTCTGAATAAAAAAAAAATTAGCAGAGTGAGAAAGTTTTTGAGACAATTACCTTGACTTTCTCATGTTTTCTGGCCAAAAAAAAAAAAAAGCACTTTTATAATCGGACTTCAGCATGTAAAACAAAAAATAAAATAAAAAAAAAGAGCAGCTTGAATCATCACTTGTCTAGACACAGTTTACATTGATGTTGTGAAAACAAGATGAAGAATGGTTAATTTGTAAGTAGATCTTACATTTTTATTCTTTTAAACTATCACAATATTATTAGTAAATACATGAAAATTCTTAGTTATTCAGTCCTTAGGCAGACAAGAAAAGAAAACTACCAATTAGATATACTTAGGGTTTGCCTCTCATAATAGTTTCAAAACCAATCTGATAAATTTTTTCCCCCCCCTAAATCAATACACGGAATTTCATCACATTTAAACCAAACCAAACCAAACCAACCAAACCAAGTCTTAAGTCCCATCAATTTCATCATATTTAGATTTAGTTATCATCTGCAAATACAAAATAGAAAATAACAAAAAGTCAAAGCACTACAAAATTTTGGTGGTGAATGGCCTATTCATCAACAATATTAGTAGGACATAACACAATAGAATAAGCATTACACAGAAGCAAAGTCAAAAGGACAAGCTGATGGCCACAAATTTTGCAGAGCAGGAAAAGTTGTAGAGCAAAAGAAATTGAAACATAATTTTAACCACAAAGAAGAAAAAAGTTTTCAAGCAACCCAACTTCAGCTTCATGCTCTCCGCATTATCACCATTGCACCAAGCAATAGTCCCACTTTCCACATAATAAGTGCAGGTTGAAAATCAATAAAGCAGAGGGGGTACAGAACCATAAAGAAGTGAAGCAGAAATAGCACTGTCCTATAGGAAATTGACCTATAAACCAGAGGATGGTTTTTCATAACGTTAGATGGAAAGTAGAATGGAAAGAAAAACTAAAGTTCTAAGGAAGAATAATATATAATAGATTATGGTCATTATAGTTGGCAAACATATAAAGGAAATAAGACTTTACAAAGGGCTCTATATTCCTTCTGAAGGCGCTTTACACATGCTTTCTCTGCCATCTAGCAGCTTCCAATGGTAAGAAAACAGCAGATCAATTCCCTAGCTCAAGTCCCCTAGCTGTCCCTTGATTTTGTAATATGTTGACTGGAAAACATAAGAGTCATTCTACAACTTGAGAATTAATGTGTGAACTAAAAATTTCTAGAGCAAAAAAATCAAGTCATGAATCTAATCAATACTTGAACAGGACAGATACTAAAAGGGATAATTTCTATTGCAAATTTCTTTGTAAAACTATATCTTATATAATGAATTATATCTCCATTCTCACTAATTTTTTAAAAAAACTTGCATCAAAATGCATCAATGGGCAAAAAGTACATGTTTTTCTGGCTCTAGACTCCCTGTTTTTTTATTATCCTGTGTTGCTTCCTCTCCACCACCTCCACCAGACCATCTATCAGAGTTCTTCATATCAAAATCTGAATACTAGAAGAATCAAGCCAAATATAAGCATGGTCAAACACATAAACAGTTCTAAGCTTTATTATCCAATTCAAAGAAATTAGAAAAATATTACTTCTTCTAGATCAGTTTTTCAGATAGAAAACTTATCATAGTCCATCAAAAATTCCAACTCCATATTCATCCATCTTCTTTTGTTGAAATATGGTTATAGAAATACTCATTAATGAAGCCTTTTCGAAAAATTATGGTAGTCAATCAAAAATACTAATAGATGTTTTCTTTCCCTTCTCGTCCAAAAATTTCAAACAAATTTTTAAGGTCTCTTTCACACTTTCAGGACTTTAAAAATCATCCATTAACCAATGACATCAAGATCCATAACCCTCAAAACAATTTTAGGAGAAAGCCATTGCTACGCTATCACGCCTATGGGCTATCCCTTCAACTATACAAATGTGAACAAACTTTATGATCTCTTGGGCTTTCTGAACCACACTTCAAAATGAATGATGCAGCAAATTCTGCAAGTTTGTACTTTTAGAAGAAGCTTTAAGGGCAATGGTTAGTTTAAAAAGGAAATTTAAGCTCCTTTAAGCATAACCCCATCAACCTCCCATCTCCACCTAGATAAAATTAAATGTTTAAACCTTAATGCAGGTGATGGTAATCCGATGATTTAGGGATCTCATGCATATTTTATTTCCTCTCTCTGATATTGACTTAAAGATTTCTTAAAGCTTCCCATCTTTAAAAAATAAAAATAAAGAAGAAGGAAAAGGACAGTTTAAAGATGAGAGATCATTAGAAACAAGTGTGAGCACTTTTTGGGTTATGAAATTACATGCATTATTCCTTCAATGAAACAATATATACAGTTTTATCAGTTGCGACATGAAATGCCCATGGAATGAAATTCCTGCACAACCACGCATTGTAATGCCATCCAAGAGAACCACCCAAGCAAAACAAAAAATGGAACTTGCATTTCAAATATGTGATGGGAAAACTAAAACTGTGTTGATCTTGCATAAAAGCCCACAGGAAAAAACGCCAACAGCTATATTCTCATAACATTTCAAGTATTTGTACAACCAACATGTATTGCAAGTACTAGAGAAACTAATTCCAAAATTTGATACGGTGCTACAGAGCACAAAACTAAGCATGTGGTATTTACAACTAAACATAAAATAATATTTTATGGTATTTATATACAACATTTAATTAAGCATGTGGTTCATCAGTTGTGAGCATCAACGGTGAAGCTCAAGAGTTAAGAGAAATTCTAAATCAGATAACCAAAATCTTTACCTTTAGAATCAAACCCAGAACTACGTTTCTCAATCAAATTGGCACAGTTCAGTAACTAATATATACTCTTGAGATGGCCGCGCAAGGTGCGCGATCTCATGCCCATTGCTGGTGCCCAATTATTTTTTTTAATATAAAAAAACCCATAATTTAAATAAATAAGGAACACAACTCTATTAAAATTATTTTTTCATAACTGTTTGTTGTTATTATTACTAATATCTTAGTCGAATTCCTGACACAAGTTGGAAAAATATTAACAGTTTGATGCATATATAGAGGAAAACGTTGAATTGTAGAAAATCACACACTTAATTCTAATATAAGAGTTCAACATAACCACACAAAAAACAAAAAAATATATATATAGATTCCTTTTTGGAAAGAAACCAAAAATCAAATAACATAAGCTGTTAGATTAACAAACAAATAAATACGAATCAGTAGGGTGAATGGGCATAGGGTCTAAATTTGTGTTCCCAGAAAATACTAATACCCTAGCAAATTATATATTAATATGCATGTTTTGAAACATGACACACTTCCATTCGACAACAGTAAATTTAGTGATCTCAAAAGTTTTATTTAGACCATTCTCTAAATGAAGAATGATCTGAATAAAAATGTAAAAAATCTGATGCATAAGTTAAGAATATGCAACTCCGTAATCAGATGTCAAAAACTACTCTAGGTTCAAAATCACACAATCCATCCTATTGTGTTAATCACTAAAATTACACAAAATTAACAACCAGCAAGGTTCAAAAGTCGTACCAATTTCGACACCGAGGCCTTGCATCATAAGTCCATATATGGCCCAAACCTCAATAAAATAGAGTTTACTATGCTGCCTGGATAAATATCTACCCACTAACAAACTCCTGTAAATGATGATCAAAACAGCATATTGTCATGTGCCTTGGCAGGTTAATGGTTTGAGATCATACCAAACCATAATATCAAGGAAACTCTTTATTGAAGTGACGAAGGGAAGAATTCACATTATCTTTTCTTAAAATAGGATTGTATCAATGGGATGGGGTCGGTTAGACAATGCCATGTTGGTAAACAAGGATTAATTTGTTAGCAAGGTAAGGAATGTATGGTCAATTATTCATTATAACTCTAGGAGACCTAGTTTCCTTTAAGTAAAAGATTTTGGCCAATCAAAAAGAAAAATTATCAATATAGAAACTATTTTGAGACCCCATTCAACTTGGACAATGAAAAGATTCTTGCAAATTACAAATTAGGCACCACTTTGTAGAAAAGTATAAAGGAGAAGCTCATTAGAAATCCATGCATGATCCTAATTATACAGAAATGCCTAATGCAACACATGCAAAAATGCAACTATAGCAGGCTCGGCTATTCTAACATGGCATATGAGAT